CATGGCAGTACTGGTACCAGTAGTAGTACTAACTAGTAGTAGCTTGTTTGAATTCAACTTATTAATTCTCTAACAGTCTGATATTTTCCAAGCTTCCAGCAGTATATGTAAAGTATTTCTTGATGGCTTCCACAACATTGGTCTCTTGGATGACAACATCAAAACTTGTACTATGCAGAATATGATGACAAAAAATATATCTTGCTTGGTAGCTACTTTCTTTTCATCTTTTGGATTTTATTTTGTATGTCATCTGCAAAGGAACTAGTGTAGTGTAGTTGAACTTCTTGTTGCTCAGTGTTCTTCTTTCATGGCAGCAATTGTTAAAGTGTGAATTTGCACCTACTAGTACTACAAGTAATTCTATCATTGTCTATCAACAAAATTATTCTGAAGTTCATAAAAGAAATTGGTACTACTTGTAGCACTTTCATCATTAGTTTCCCAGGTCAACACTGGTGATCTCTAAAAAATTATGAGACTTGCTGTTTTAGGAATCATACTACTCCTACTCAAAAATTGGGAAAGTGGTTCTCTTTACTCTTGAGATGACCTAGTAGTTATGTTTAAAATATATGATTTTTTGTTAAGGTACTACTAGTCTAATACTAATTTACTTCAAAATTCACTAAAAAATAATGTTTTTGTTTCTCTGGAAGTCCAATCCAGTGATATTTACTACTATCCTCAAGGTAACTTACTTTGCACAATTAAGAAATGGTAGTCCAGTGCAGCATCATAGTACTAGCCAATGACCATCTGTTCTGATAAACAGTGCTAATCTCACCAGCTCATCCTCCTCCCTCACACCACCACCTTGATAGGATCATATGCAACCCCTACCAGCACCAAGAACTACTACTACTATTAGTACTACTAGTACTCCTAGTACAAATCCTCCACAATCTGGTAGTACTACTAGTACTACTACTACTACTACACCACTGATTGAAAAATCATGGGCACCTGATACACCACCATGGGTGATTGAAAATAAAAAATCATCCAATTTTTGGTTTTTGGATGATCTGTTCTTGCTGATTTTTGTTGTTGCTTGTCAGCAGCATGCACATCCAATTGCTGTGGACAAGAACAAGAAGCAAGAAGTCAAAAATTACCAACACTAGTAGTACTACTAGTAGTAGTACTACTAGTATGATGATAATAGTACTAATTGTTGTTTGGGGGCTTGCAGGAAATAGTAGGTCCAATAAGTAATTGTTTTGGGGAGTTGGAAATAAGTCCAACAGATTCATGGATTACTTTTGGGTCATTCGTGGTTTAACTCAAATTTTATTTCATGTCAAAAATAAAACAAATTTTGATGTTTAATGGGAAAAATAACCTTCGAAAGAAATCATGCCCCCGAATTATGGATTTTAAAGGGGGAAAACGCATGAGTGTTCCGGAGGGCCCTCCCTGGATGGATTGCGACCGTACCGGTACGAACTCGAAGTCTCCTTACTGGGACGATCATCATTGACTATTTTACCACGCCGGGCACCCTACCACGGGCAATAGTCTGGCAATAAGAATGGTAACTTGCTGGCGTTACCAGAACAGTTACCACAATCTGGTAGGATTTATGGTAGCAATCCGGTATTCTTACCAGTTACCAAAATCYGACTAGAATTGCTACCATCTTGCTACYATCTTGCTACCAGATTGCTACCAGATTGCTACCATCAATGCTACCAGATTGCTACCACAAACGCTACCAAAATATATGCCGCACTACCAGAATTTTTTTTAATATCCCAGCCCCCTCTTAAGTATGACTCATACAAACGAATATGGGGGCTAAGAGAATCTAATTATTATAGAAAATATTTATGGTAAAATGGTAGCTACCAGATTTCGACTAGAATTGCTACCATCTTGCTACCATTTTGCTACCAGATGGTAGCAATTTTAGTTGCAAGATGGTAGCAATTCTGGTAGAAATTCTGGTAGTAATAGTTTCTTGGAGGTCCTGGGACTGAAAATATGCTTCATTTTATGTGTTAAGCTGCGCCTGCTGGTTCCATTCCAGTAACGGGTCTAGTAGCAAAGGTGCGTGGTAAAATCTTCAATGATGATCGTCCCAGAGACCAAAACACATAAAAGGACGACTATGAGTTTCGTTGTGAAACACATTCTTTCTGAAACGGTACTGGTACTGAAATACTCGTACTCGTACAGTAAGTATCGATGAAAGGATACTTTTTTTCCAAGAATAAAATATATCATAAGCTTTTTATCCAACATCAACTACGAGTACGTAAGCTACGGTACCGTACGTACCGTACGAACCCTAATTTAGTCCTATGCACTTGCAAAAGGTTTGTAGGCGACAAGAACTTTTTGCGATTCTGAATCGCCTAGATTTATGGCTTTTGAAAAGTCCGATCAAACAAAATTATATCTGGTCGCAACAGCATTGATACTTAAAGAAATCATCTCGATCCCGATTGATAAATCACGTAGAGGCATAAGAACGAAAGAGAAAGACGATAAGTAATACAACATTGTACCTCATTCGCACTTCAATGGTACAATTAAAAAATGTCTTTTTACAAGCGATTGGATAGAAAAAGCAAGAGAAGGAATCAGGGTTAATTATTCGAACATTCGGGATTGGTAGTGTGTAGGACTATGTTCTGCAATTTGTAATAATTAACTAAATAATAGATGTCTATCATACCGGTATATCATACGGCTCAGGCAATGTCCAGTGCACCCTGTTCTTCAGTTGCATCTTTCACGGAGAAGCGAAGCCAAGAAAAGCCTATTTCTATCGCACTCTACGTCTACGGAACTCACGAAGTGCAAAGTTATACAGAACAGGTTACAAAACTCACGTGCTACAGTCTTAATACGGTACGTGTCCAAGAATTTGATACCCACGAATCGCATCAAAAAGCATCACATCAAACATAACTAAACAATAGCGACAGCAGCACCTACACCAAGACAGGTTTCATCAAAGTAGTAGTAGTAGTATCACACAGTAGTAGCTACGTGAATCGAATTCCAATGTCGGAGCCACTACAGCATAGCCAAGGAAGCTGTATCAATATCAACAGAGTGGTCTTCGTTGATGATATCGAGATGGGCAGCAACTCGAATTTCGCTTCCAGCGAGAACACAACGACCGGAGACGAAGTAATGGTGGAAGGTATGGCAAACTCGAASGAGTTCTCCATCGTGGGACCACTTCCCGACGAGAATGAGAGAAACCAAGCGTCGTCTTCCGAATACAGCCACGACAACAGCAGCAGGAACCAGAACCAGAGCACTTCCTTTCTAAAGAACCGAAAGGGCAAGGCTCTGCGCCGCGGCTCCGGCGCCACTCAGAGTACCTCCGGAAACAACAGCGGCCTCACCGGGAGCGTCTCGCTCCGATCCCGGTCCTCCCACTCCACGGGGGGATCCAGTGGCAGCGGCAGCGTGTACTCGCCCCATTTCAAAGCGACCCCGCGGCCCATTTGGTACGGTCGGTGGCTCTTTTTTACGCTGCTGTGCCTGGTAGCGGTAGCCCTCGGATACCTCACCTACAGCTCTCTGTCGAACAACGAAACAAACTTGGCGGATTGCGTTTTTGTGAAGGTTGCAGAGAACGCGATCGAAGTCATCAGCAGCAACCAGAAGAAGAAGAAGCTCGGAATGGACACCATGGCCAGCGTGATCGGTGAGTACTTCTAAGGAATCCATTGGTTTGGATACAAGTTTTAACGATACAATACATATGGCACGAGCCCGTGATTCTTCGCACACTCAAAGCCCGATACTCATCGTTTTTTCTTTTCTCTCCTCCGTTCCGCAAACCCTGATTCTTTATTTCYGCACAGGATCTACGGGATATGATAGAGGCCAGTGGCCCTACGTCGCTCAGGACGACTACGAAGCAATCGCCATGAACGTTATCGATACAAGCAGGGGTTGCAACATTGCCTACGGTCCCATCCTGACCCCAGTCCAGGTTCCTTCCTTTGAGTTCTTCGCGGCGGACTGGTACCAGAAGTCTCGGGTGCCCGGTCCCTTTCCCAACGGTACGGGGATCAAAACCAACGACCAGGTCGGGGTGTGGGCGATGGACAACGGCACGGCMTTTCACGATACCACCGGGGAAACCATCGCCTGGGATTCCGAGCGGCRCATTGTCGTTCCCATGTTCCAGCACCCTTCGGGGGCATCRAAAAAGCTGATGTTCAACATGCACTCCTCCCCTCTATTGGGAAGCACGATAGAGAAGATGATGACCTGTGCGGAAGAGACAAAGGAGCTGATTCTCGAGCACGAAATCACGTACGCCAACCTTCCCGATCCGCAAGACGGCGAGGAAGYGACAGAAGTTCCTCCCGTTCCTTCCCTTAAAGATTGCACCATGGTCACCGACATTGCCCAAAACAAGACCAGTACCATCCAGAAAGAACCGATGGGACCCGGTGCCAACATGTTGCAGCCAATCTTTCCCGCAACAAATACGACAGAGGTGAGTCCATAACGGAATGGTGTAGCTYAATTGGTTTGTCAACAAGATTTATGCGCGTCTTCCACAATGGATTGGAAGGCAGCTAGCATTGCAACGAAAGCATCGGTTGCGCTCCTTTTCATTTCTCACGGAACTCTTCTCTCTCTTTCTTGCAATCTCTGACTCTCTTTGTCTTATCGTTCCTACAACGTGCAGATGGTTGGAGTGTTGGTTACGTCGATTGTATGGACTGAAACGATGATGGACGTATTTTCTGCCAATGTTGATGGAGTTTATGTCGTCGTTTCGACTCCTTCCGAAAGCGTGACCTTTACGGTCAACAAAGGAAAGGTAGAGTTCTTCGGAACCGGCGACTTGCACGACCCAAACTACGATCACATGAAGCAAGAAGGRAACATTACTATTCCTGGTCTTTTCGCCCCTCAGTCCGTTCCTTACACAATCGCTCTCTATCCGAGCGACACAGTATACGACATGTACTCTACAAAGAACCCATACTACGCTACCATCGGCGCCATATGTGTCATGTTTTTCACAGTCATCATGTTCACGGCCTACGATTGCATGGTTCGAAGAGAATTCAGCGCCAAGGCCGAACTCCTCAAGGCCAAGCGCCACTTYATGCGCTATGTGAGCCACGAGGTCAGAACGCCGCTGAACTCGGTGTGCATGGGCCTGAATCTCATGCAAGAAGAGATYCAATCAAAACTCAGCTCTGCCGGTGCAGACGGCAGYMAGACCGCCTCGATCACCATCGACGAAGCCACTGCCTGGCTAGATCTGAGCCGCGACGTTCACGTTAGCGCTCGATCGGCCACGAATGTCCTAAACGATTTTCTGAACTACGACAAGATCGAATCGAGGCAGCTCACCCTGGAATTGTCCGTGATTCCGATTCAATCACTCATTAGCGAAATCTCCAAGGAATTTGTCTTGCCCGCACAAGACAAAGCCATTCAATTCACGCTCACCCAAGAAAAARTTGACGCGACCGGAGTCGCTTGCACAAACAGTAGCAATAACAACAGCAATATCAAGAGCATCAAGAAAGTGGAAGTAGACCACACTGATGAAATCCAATCGGAGCTACTAGAAGACCAGGTGGTTGTTGGTGATAAGGCGCGTCTTTCCCAAGTGATACGAAACGTGATTTCAAATGCTATCAAGTTCACCCCCAGTAAGGGCTCGATCACGGTCAAGTCCAAGTGGATAGTCGCAACTGTTGGTGAGTCTACCAGCATCAATTTGCAGGACGGACAAACCGARGATCTCCACCAGACCGGATGGATCCAACTCGAAGTGACGGACACCGGTCCAGGGATGACCGAGGAACAACTAGCAACGGTATTTGAAAGCGGCGTTCAATTCAACGTTAACAAGAACCAAAAGGGAGGGGGAAGTGGTCTCGGACTTTTCATTGCCAAGGGTATTGTCGATCAGCTCAATGGAACACTTACGGTCCATTCTGATGGTCTGGGCAAAGGGTCGTCTTTCGTTTGCAAGCTCCCCCTCTTTTGCAAGCCCAAAGAACAAAATCTGTGCAATGTTCCCATTGTTCATCGGGACCAGTCCATTACGGAACGGGTCTCGTCCAGCTGGCTGGACGAACAACACGAGCACGATCATTCCTACCGCATACTGGTGGTTGACGATGCTCCCATGAACCGCAAGCTCCTGACCCGCCTCTTGATGAAGCGTGGGCATGTCGTCGAAATGGCCGAGGACGGTCTAGAGGCTCTAGAAAAGGTCACGGCAGAAATGAAGGTAGGAAARCGATACGACACGATTCTGATGGATTWTCAGATGCCCGTAATGGACGGTCCGACTTCGACGCAACGAATCCGTATGGAGGGGTGCGATTCCTTCATTGTGGGCATCACYGGAAACGTCCTTCCTCAAGACATCGAGCACTTCAAGGCCTGCGGTGCAGACGGTGTCCTYGGAAAGCCCTTCCAGGTGGAGGAACTCGAGTCCATGTGGATCGAGTACGGGGTTACGTCCGACGAGTAGTCATGTTGGTCCACTAATTTCTAGCCGTTGTTTGAACGGAAGTTTCRCATCTGTACAGTTTTGTTGGGGTTGTTCATGCCTTATTGATTGTATACTACTATCTTCTRCATACTACTTTCTACTTMATTCCTTGGATCTGTTAGTTCTGAAGAAYTATAATTGATRCTTTTGTCCTATTACAGCTATCAAYTTTTTACTATAAATGTACTCRTAATCTCACGTACTACTTCTCCCGTCAATGTCTGTGGTCGAGTTGCAAGTGATCATTGTWTAAAMCTTGAAACATACTCCTTAGCATTCTACATACCGTACGGCACAGTAAAATGATGTTKTATTCTGTATTCGACTCCCATTTGAACSAAGCACTCAAMAGACGATGGTTGCCGATGGATGGTAGCAAACAAATCTCGCTTAGAAAGCAGCAAGCGCCACGACGGCAACAGCAAAGCCAAGAGCGGTCACAGTCATTAGAGACGATGGTGGTGAAGCGGAATCCTCTGCCACGACATCGGTAGAATCCTCTGTCATGACGTCGGTAACATTGCTGCCAGCGAGGTCGTCATCGCCAGTGTCTTTGAGTCCCCCAGAGGTACAAGAGGTGCCRGGCTCCCACGTTGCGGTGGCACCATCGGGGCAGCAGGCGTTGAAGGTTCTCCCCCATTGGGAATTGCAGGAACTGAGAGTTCCTCCCGCGTAGCACTTGTCCCAGGTTTCAGTGCATTTGTTCAAACCACTGGGAAGCGCGGTATTGTCTCCCCCAATGGTGCAATCATCGCTGGAGTCCCAGGTTTGGGTGGCTCCGCTGGGACAACAGACTGGGTAGGTTCGACCCTGGGTCGTTGAGACACACGAACCGGGGGTTCCCATGGTGGCTAGGCAAACGGGAGATTCATAGCACAGTGCTGCGTTTGCRACGGAAGAGGAGGAGAGGAGGAGGAAGGCAGCGAGGGACTTTTCTTGGAAAAACATCGTTTGATTGGTTGTTTTGTCCTGTGTAGAATTGAATTGTGTTGCGTCTAGTTTGGGTGTTGTTGCAGTTTGTGGACTGAGCTGAACAGAATGCGCTAAATTTTTTTTCTTTCACCGTGCAGGAAATAAGCAGAAGCAATGGCAAAAGTCGTGTTCGAACTCATCGTACCGGTACAGTGAGGTACTACGGGCCAGATAAAAATTACTTCGTACTGTACTTCGTACTGTATTTACGTTGACACAGGATTCCATTTGTTTTCATGGGAACGTTCCAAATGTTTGAAACTGAACGCCCCGAATTTTTATCATAGGCCCATCTAGGAATTGGGAATGCTTGAACTATCCAACGGAACATCCGGAATATTACTACCAGTTTCGTAACAATTGCACATCGTCTTGCCCAGAGAGCAAAAAGTTTTAATTTGAAGTTCTAAACTTCGATTTGAAGTTAAGAACTTCACGTAGAAAGTCTACTAGGTTCTACTGAGCTAGTTTTTGGATGGCATTCATGATTGATTCATGATTGAATCACCTCATGACCATTTAAAATCGCCCTGAACCATTTTTTTGTTTTGAGGGGAATCGTGATTCATCCATTCAGTCATTTTAAAAAAATAGCTCAGTAGAACCTGGTACATGATGTACGAGCAAAAGTTCATAACTTCAAATTGAAGTTTAGAACTTCAAATTATTACTTTTTGCTCTCTGGGCAAGACCGTGTGCAATTGTTATGAAACTCGTAGTAGCAGCCAAAAAATATCATTCCCTTTCCTGGTAAGAAGAACAAAATAATTGTTTTTGATGCTAGCGCCCTACTACCACATTAAAGAATTTTCAACGTAGGTTGATTTTCAGTCTAGATTATCATGCGTAAAATAACAATTGAAATTACGAGGCATTGGGTGATTCCTGTTTAGAGCTACGAAGTACAATTCCAGTGCTGGCAAGTTAAAGGAAATTTCCCGACGAGCGTCAGTTTTTTATTGCGGAATTGGCAAGATCTATTTCTAGGAGTACACTACAAAACAAAGCAATCAATCAGACCAGCCTTTTCTGAGAAAAGGATATAACTTGTCCCACCACTTGACGAATGAGCTGTTGTGGGAGGCTACAGAGGAGGCTGTATTCTTTGAGCACCTACATCTGTTCCTTCTCACTATCTCTTCTACTGAAGAYATCTGGACTTATATTCAAATTGATAGGACTATGTGAAGAATTGGTGGTGGTACTTAACAAGCTATACAAGTGATAGAGCTAGCAGAGACATTACAAGAAGGTAGTCTCAAGCAAAAGGAGAGAGCAAAAGGACAAGATACTATTTAACACCTCTAGCAGTGATAGAAGGACCTTCTAAATTATTGCTTGAGAGACGCTYTCAACAAGGGAAGCTTTAGAGAAGGCATCACAAACACCACTTTACAGAGCTATTTCGTATCAGACAACAAGCTATTGCTAACACGACAAAGAAGAACTGCAGTATACCAATAAAACTTGAAGYGTTAAAACAAAGATAAGAACTTTGATTCAAAGTTGTCAATTTGGAGGTTCCCTCGTTGGTTCCAGCACTAGTAGGATACCRATACAAAATCGCAAATCAAACGCCAGTGCTGATTTTGGTCAAAATCGACTGATTTTCATTGCGCGTTCAAAATGCTCGACTTCCGCTTGCATGACGCGCTCTATCACTAATGACKWTGGTTGTCGATCGATAGAAGCAAACAAACCTTGCTTAGAAACTGGCAAGCGCCGCGGTGGYGGCGGCGGCRACAGCAACACCAAGAGCGRTCACGGTCATTAGAGACGATGGTGATRCCGCGGAATCTTCTGCCGCRGWRTCCTCTGTCGCGGAGTCCTCTGCCACRATGTCGGTAACATTGCTGCCAGCGAGGTCGTCATCGCCAGTGTCTTTGAGTCCCCCAGAGGTACAGGAGGTGCCRGGCTCCCAGGCTTGGGTGGCACCATCGGGGCAGCAGGCATTGTAAGTTCTCCCGTAGGGGGCGGTGCACGAACTCAGAGTTCCCGCCCAGGGCCAGCATGAAGCCCAGGTTGGGGTGCACTTGTTGATAATACTGGGAAGCTGGGTATTCTCCCCCCCAATYGTGCAATCATCGGTGGAGTCCCAGGTTTGAGTGGCACCACCGGGGCAACAGACCATGTAGGAACGCCCCTGGGTCTTTGAGACACACAAACTGGGGGTTCCCATGTCTTTTGTACAAACCCCGCCGGATTCATAGCACAGCGATGTGTTTGCTACAGAAGAGGAGGAGAGGAGGAGAGGAGGAGAGGAGGAGAGGAGGAGGAAGGCAACGAGGGACTTGCCTTGGAAAAACATTGTTTGCTTGGTTGCTATGTTTTGGGTAGAATCGAATTTCTAGTTTGGGCGTTGTTGCAGTTTGTAAACTGAGCTGAACAGAATCTCAGAGATGAATTTTGATCTTTCACCGTTTTTTGGAACAGATGGTTCGAAAAACAAGAGATATTGTGCAAAAAAATTACGGTACGTACGTTACGGTACGGAACTTTCCCCCCCTCAATGCAACGTTCGCCCATGTTGAATTAGTATTGCTTGAATTTAGTTACGGAATATTCCAAATGTTAGCAGTCTAGGAAGAATCTCTTTTTTGGCATTAAGAAGACCAATTAGGGATTGGGGATTAGTGCTCCTAATGTCAAGCTCACTGAAGTCAAGTACTTCTACTTCGTACGAAGTACTTGGCAATTCCCCGGGTGTCAATTTTTTTCATTTTCCCGTCTTTATTTCTCCTCCCCCCCCCCTCCACACAAAAAAAACTACCCAGTCCCAAAATATTTCTATTAGTGGTCCTTACTACTGGGGATATAAAATCAGTGCTTGCTACTTGAGAATTAATATTAGTGCTTACTACTTGATCACCTCCATTACTACTTGTTACTAGTTGGGATGCCATAGTAGTGAACACTGCGAACTGCTGGGTAAGGGGGTTCTGTTGTTGGTGCTGCTCTCCTCTCGCTTGACATTAGGAGTTCTCTTGGGGATAGTGGTATCATCTACCATACAAACGTATGATGACATACTAGTACTACGAGTTTTGTGACAATTGCACATCGTCTTGCCCAGAGAGCAAAAAGTAATAATTTGAAGTTCTAAACCTCCATTTGAAGTTATGAACTTTTGCTCGTACATCATGATGTACCAGGTTCCACTGAGCTAGTTTTTTAAAATGACTGAATGGCCAAATCACRATTAGGAAGGAGGTCTGTTGTTGCTCATACTAACCTGCGGAATGTAAGTTTGCTCGTTAGTGTTGTAGTTGTGTGTTTACAATACAGTAAAAAAGAGTGAGCTTCTTATTCACTATCTACTACTACTGTACTGATTTAGGCTCGCAATCATGRTTTTTGATTTTTGGATTGTCGTGCGTGGTCATGATCTCATACCGTTGCGACGCTGTTAATACTGTAAGTCAATACAGAGAGATACCTCACAATGGGTGATTCCCTTTTATAATAACGGGAATCAAAAATGCAACAGACAGACTGAGAGCAAGCTGGCCTTTGTTGCGGTCTTTTTTGGAATCTGGAATCTTAACTACTTTCCAACGTAAAGACTAAGAAGACTCAAAACGCGCGCCACTTCTTGGTACAAAGGAAAACATGAAATTTTTGATACTCAACTAGAGTAAAAGATGAACACATTTTTTGCTTATCAGTAACAAAAAATGAGTTCATGTTTTACGCTAGTACTAACTAGACTAATACACGAACACCAGTTGACAAACACACTAATCAACTACAGTTTCCTCCCAGAAAAACAACAGGCAACATTGAACATTGACAATGGGATTAGTGGAAGTGATCAGATGGTACTGGCACCTCCTCCAGTTGAACGTGGAGCAGCAGCAAAGAAGTTACAAAAGCAAACTGTCTCCAGAAGAGCGCTGAAGGAGGGACTGGAGAACCCCAAGCATTGCAATCAGGAGGTTCGCTGACTCCCCCTTTCTCTACCTCTTCCACTCAGGGGATGACCAAGGACTCCTCAACTGCTGTGGAGTCGACCACAAGGTCTTCAGAGCRCTTGTTGACCTGTTTGCCCCAGTATGGAACAAGTACATCATGGTCAACAAGAACAATGAGATGTTGGAGGTTCCTTGTTGCCCCAGTGGCAAACCCAAGGGGAAGAAGAGAGAGGTCAATGCAGTCTGTGCAAYAGGACTAGTCCTTTACTGGTACAGGACAAGGAGATCCGTAGCAAGTTCGATGGCAATTGCTCCATCTTAGAGGAGTAATCAATATCCTTCATTACAGTATACTACATGTAGAATGTAATCCTGTGTGAGTGTTTCGAAACAGTATACATGAAAACCACAAATCGGTAGGAACTGGTGGAACAAGTACTGCCATCCACAGCATCCAAAAGGACAAAGAACTGTCATTGTGTACTGCTCAAGCAAGCTTCACAGCTCATTTAGCTCATTTAATCTAATTTGTAGTAGTGTAGTAATGTGTAATAAGAAGCAGTCTAATCATTGGTTAAAGAATGCCTGTTTCTTTCTCCTCACCATGGGATTCTTCCTGGCATTATCTTTTGAGTGGTGGCTGGTGGGGCATGGAGGAAGCGCCCGCAAGATCTTGTGGAGGGGATGCATAGTATGGATGTTGTGGAGGACTGCAATGAGAATGTTGTGGAGGACCACCATGATAAGACTGTTGTTGTTGCTGATGCCCACTMCAAGAAATTTCTCTGCTACTTTCTCTGCAGTGCCAAAAGCATCCTTCCATATCTCACGGTTTTGTTCATCTCTTCTTTCCTCTCTTTTCTCCTGGTTCTTGAYATAATCATTGAAAGCAGCAGCATTGGGGACTAAGGATTTCTTTTGCTGGTAGGATCTCTTCTTAGCAATTGTAGGAGTTGTCGATCGTGTCAACACCAAAGATGATGATCTCCCTGAAGAGGAACAAGCCACTGGTGTCTCCCCTCCAACTATGGGAGAAGCCCTCCTTCCTCTCCAGCATGAACAATCGATGGTTCTTCCTCTTCCACTTCAGCAAGAATACTAGCAGTGTTCTTGGTCTGCAAACCATCAACAGCCTCACTTTTAAAATAGCCTTCCATCAGATCAAAGTCCTCMTCTCCAGTACCAAGATTTGCCCTCTGACCACCAATCAACATGTGGGCTTGCCGGGCCATCTTCATGTACTCTGGCATGTTTGGGTTTCCAGTGGAACTCTTGATCATCTTTATAGCTGCATACCTAGTCTTGATGGACGTCCTTGTTCTAAAGAAGGGCCACGATTTTGCATGGTCAGCCACTAKGGAATCCCACTCATCATTACTAATGGGAACCCTGTCACGTATCATGCCAATGAGACTGTTTAGCTCATYGTGAGTGTAGTTTGCTACTCCAGCCTTCCGGCCACTGTTGCTGTTGCCACTGCCTGCCATCTTTGATACAAAGATAGTGTGGGGGATGGGACAATGGGCCTCCTCGCGACAATGAGCTCTGTCTTTCTTGAGGTTGCCGGCCTCCTCTGCTTTGTATTCTTGCTCTCTTTGCTGCAACAAAGAAAGGAAATACAATGTACTGACTAAAAACACWGACTGGGACATTATTCATGGATACTTAATAGAATAAAGGCACCATGGTGCCAGTGTTGTTGTTGTTGATACTCACAATGCGCATGCTCGACTCTTGTTGTTTAGAAAAAAGAGTTTTGTCTATTAGCAAAAAAAGAGTCTTAATTTTGGGTTGGTTCAGCYTTAATTTTGGTGGGCCTTTCTGTTGAGTCTTTCAACAGACTCGAAATTTTGAATTGTGAGTTCCATCATAAAATTTATTACTTTTGACAAGGGTCAAATGAGCACATCAAACATAATAAATTTTGTTATAAATGTGCTAAATTTTYGGTCTGTCAGTCTATCAAAAGTAGCACATATAATTTATTCTATTAGTAACGGGAATCACCCAAAATCACCCAATGGGTGATTCCCGCAAACGTAGTAATATGTAAAAATGAGACCGGCCGGCTCGAAAAAATATGTAAATTAAATAAATTTTGGTTGTCGTGGGCCCACGACTACCAACTTTTATGTAATTTACATATTTTTTATTTGGAATCCTTGACTTAACCATTTCCAGTCTCGTTTAGTGAAAATCCCAAAGTTCCTGCCACTTTGGAATTTTGTCAAATTGCATGCAATTTATACAGGATTCCAGATTCCGAAAATGGGGGGAAAATATGTAAGTTGAGCTGGCAGTCTGTGTCTTCTGTACCACTGAAAGTGATTCCCAAAAACATATCACGTACCAGTTAATCGGTAATAAAATGCGTTAACCATAAGAACCCTACCGCACTCTACTTGAAAAAAAGTAATTTTACTCCAAGGGATTTACCCAGAGAATTTTACTAGTAAGAATCATGTTTAATTTTGTTAATTTTGAAGCCCAGTATTTAGTACTGATCCTACATAGATCTGCTACTATTCGGTCACTTTTTCCACCACAAGAAAGAGCCCAATACGGTAAAATAAGCTAAACACAACAGCTCCGGAAAGGCCTCTAATGAGATCACCTTTTGGGATATGCTTGGTCATAGTGTTAAGAAGAGTGCTGTGTGTCATTGTTACATGATTAGGGACCAGGGTGGAGCCGGTTCTCCATTAACAGCTGGTATGGCCAAATAGGCCAGAACTCTGCTATCAAAAAACAACTTTAGACCACCAGACTAAGGGCCCAGACCAAGTTGATACAATTACTTAAAGATCCAGGTCATTGGGGTTCCAAAGGATGCTCTAGCGGCTTAGAACTAGTCAGCCAAAGTTACAGTAGTGATGTGGCCCAAAATGGTTAATCATGGAAGTCGAAAAATTAAAAAAAAGAAGACTAAAACAGTTTTTGACTGCAATTTTTTCGCTTCAGCGGAAGGGGGGGTCTGGGGGGGTGGAATTTCAAGAAACTTTCCGGAGCAATCTTTTTAGTCGTAGAGCCGGTAGGGTTTTGAACTATAAGAAACATCGTAAAACAATAAAGTTACGGGAATGAGATGCCAGCNCATTTTTAACTTAAACATTCAGTCATTGTTGTGACAACAAGTCATTCTAGTAGCAATAACCTAGTTTTTGCACCGTAGTAAGTTTTTTTGGCCGCYGCCATCCTTCAAAAAAAAAACAACGGCGGCGGCCGCAACCAATTAACGGATATCACCCAATGACAACTTAATGGCACCGTGTGCGGATTTTTTCAGTGAGTTTATTCACAAGAATCTACTCTTGATTTGGACTCATAGCCACAATAGTCGTTTTCTCGTTCACACTGGTCAGAATTGAATAGGCACAGAGAATCAATCCATACAACCTACCGAAGCAAGTRTTAAATGAATCGGGCCAGTCACAGTCCACACAATAAAGTATCTCCTATGTACGGATTCGTCGGTCAGCGTGTGGCGAAGGAGTTYTACCTGCCGTCCCATCTCCCTACGCCGAAAGGGAGGAGGCTTCGACAGATCCAGTCGCACTCCTTTGATGAAAACGGGGTTTTATTTTTCAGAACGCGATGCATTCATCCAACCCAGGGGGAAATAGTAGTTAACGTRCCATTCAGTTCGTTTCGAATGTACGAACCTTTTCAGTGCGCCAAGTACATTCAAGAACACATTGCGGAGAAGCGCSGAGGTCGACGTCCTTGCAATGAGTGGGCTGACAAAGTCCTGAAAGWAAAGCACATGCCGAACGGCGGGAAAAGGAAAGACATTTTCTTCGGTACCGTGAAACGTACAACATTTGTYAGGGGCCGACGGCTCTGGCGCATCAAGTACGACGACGACGACGAAGAAAGCCTGGACATATTCAAATTTCACGAGGCACTCGATTTGTACGAAAAGTGCAAGGAACTCGACTTCCSGRAAAACCACACTCGTCATGAATTTTCCAAACAAATTGTTTGTGAGAAGGAAAACATGAATGCTAAGATACACAATAACTCATTGCATCACCAATTCTTATGTGGCAGGAATGAAAGGCAGCAGAAATCGATTGGAAGGAGTATTCCTGGCCAGGAAAAGTGTCTCGGGAAGACCCCCAAGCAAGAACTTCATATAAGTCCCASAAGGATCACCCATTGGCAGAAAACTACACATTACAAGAAAGTTGCGACTCRGAAAGCTACAAGCGGGAGGTACTATACCGAAAGAAGCGATCAAGAATTGCACAAGCAGACAAAAAGGATCAGCTGTGACCAGGRCGAGRTGGCCCAAACCGCAACAAGCCATATTTCCAAGAAGCGAAAGCTCCTGAAAAAACCTCTGTTGCGGTTGAGAAATCATTTTTTCGACGAGCATGGTGAACTATTTTTTGAAGCGCAATATTTCGGAAAGTTTGAAAAGACATTCAGTATGCCATTCGCAGAGCTGAAAAAGGAAGAGCCCGTCATRTGTGCCAAGTATATTCGTGAATATATTTCTGAAAGTCGGCGCGGTGAACGTCCGCTGAACAACTGGTCTAAAATAGTATTGAAAGAGGAAGGGTCAAGAGTGGCCCGACCATCATATTCAGCAAAAGAAAGCCATTCATCAATATCAGAAATCCAATCCTACAATMTCTTGGATAATAAATACATTTYTCGGCGTGTGGCAAAGGAATTTTCCTGTYCAGACTCTGAAATTTTCTTTGGGACAGTAAAGAGTGTATTTGAGGAAATCAAAACAAGTTCTCCATTGTGGCACATAATTTACGACGATGGTGACGAAGAGGACATGGATCTGATGGAATTGAAGCACGCTCTTGACTTGTACAGCCGATGCGAAATCCTTGAAGACACTCTAGGGGGTCATGGATGTAATGCGAAGGTTGTTGATMAATATAGGGAGGTGGAATGATTTCGATACCGTCGATYATATGGTGATACASGATAGGAAGGGTTGCCCCAACTCGAGCAATGTTGGGGTTGGGGTTTTGGGGTRCCTCAAGCTCGAAAATCCAAGAAGAAACCAGAGCATGGCGAATCAAGAGATGATTCAGAGAAACGTGAAAGGTCTGATGAGTCTCACAGGAAGCATTCAGAAAGGTAGGAAAGGATCCCACTAAAATGGAAAGATTCGTGCCCGGCCCAACTTGGTGGCAAGAGAATCATCAATAAAATGCAAAGAAGATTAATTCAATGAAKGTGGACCACAACGTTGGACTTCTTATTTTAAATAAAYGGAAAACTCGATCGCAATTATCACGACCACAACAAAAAGGATTAAAAACTGGGCATTTCATTTCAAAATAAGTGCGGTCTAACTGGAGGAGTAAGGTACTTCACTTTACACCTACGGGAGGTTGATGTATAACACTACCCTAATTCGAGCGAAGGATATTACTATTTTCAYAGAATTCCGAATTATTCAAACCGTAATATCGAAGCAAAAATTGAAAATTGCAGTCTTTCTGATGCCCAAGCATTGAACATGCTTCGTTTATTTTACRCGTACAGTATATGTTTTTTTCTCTCAAATTCGTTGCGAGGCGTTTGCACAGCCCATCAAACATCCGCTTAGAATACCAAAAACATTTTTGTATTTCTATTTGTTGCGTTGGGTWTGGAGAATATTTTGATGGGGAATCTACGAATGGGGCGATAMGAASATCAGTAGTTTTTCGCTCCCRCTCTAATCGTAAATGCTCTTGTATTCCGACACGCTGTATTCATTTGTATCGTATGTCATGCATTCGTATTCCTTCACATGGTAGCCAGATTTCGAAGCCGTTTCCGAGTTGTTGGCATATTTCTCCGTGCTTGTTTCGACTTTTTCGGGGAGCGTATTTTTGGCAAAGGACAAGCCAATACGGTCGTCCTTGACCTCGAGCCCCTCTCGGTCCCGTTGCTTGGCGCGTTCGTTAGCAGATTTGTAGGCGTTCGYTTCAAAGTAGTTTCGGGAATGAATTTTCCGTCGGTTGTTGCGAATGATCTCCAGTTCTTCCTCGCAGCGGATTTTCCCGATGAGATCGGCCTTGCCCACGGCCGTTTTGGAGTCGTCCGAGACACCGGCAAAGTTGCGYTGGTTGGCGTTGTCTGGGATCGGAAAGGCTTCGTTRAATTCTTCCTCCGYAAGCTGCTGTTGCTGCTCGTTTGMAATGGCCTCGTCGTAGTCAAACGCTTGTGTAATGGCGGGAATCGCSCCGTTTCCGGGGCCGCGTTCTGACACAGCAGTGGCCACCGGCAGGAGAGTCCCTTCCAGTTCCTCCATATCTCTGACCGCTGACACCGTCGCCACTGCCGTTACTCTTGCTTCTGTTTTCGACGACATTGAGATTGTATTCTTTATCTTGTTCCTGTGATCAATTTCTTTGTTCGAAACTCTATCGAAGTGTCTCATCAAAGGATTCAGTTGCATTAAACACAAAAAAWAGTAAGAGTACTGCAACCTGGTACAGTGGTACAGTACCTTACCTACTTCACGAAGTGACAGCGATCCTTCTGGTTCTTTCGATTCTTTTGTCACGAGTGAAATATTTTTGAGTCGTGATTTGCTTTCTGTTCGTCCTTCGTCCATGACACAAACCGCAATGAATCAAAAGAATATCGAAGTTTCCAAATTAACAAAAATTAACGTATTATTAACGTTTTTCTGCCAAATTACTAAACATGTCACCATATCAGCGTTGCTGGCCGGGAGGATGCCACTCGTTCTTAGTCATATTTATTTTTTTGAAGAGGCATGCGCAGAATGGAAGAACGGGTGGAACCCCCTGAAGACAAAAGCACCTCCAGCAGTCAGTATTTTGGTGAACAAAAACAGCAAACAAACTCTCTCGCGAAGTAAGATAACGTCATGCACAGACAATCATTCTGACACGTCCGCTCGCCATAATTCGTTGTGTCTACAAAGGGTCCCCCGAGGTATCTCTTTTGATTGGACATCATCAGTCGCTGCTGGTTACCAAACTTTATCAGTGACGGGGATCAAACATCGACGAATGAATGTTCTTTCGCTAAAGCCATATATCCAATAACTTGTTTTCCACTCGAAATCAACTAATCMAGTGAGTGTTCTCTATTTCTGAATGTAAGCTAGCGCTTCGAGATGGGAATTCTAGATGAAAGTMTGGTATCTACGGCGTCGACTCTGATCGATAGCTGTTCCATATCACTGGACCCGTCTCTTGACAACAGCCGCTCGGATCACCCGAGCGCKGAAAAGGAGAACAATGGTTTGAACGTGAATCCAATTCATGCGCGAAACACGAAGAGTGKCACGAGCTCGAAGCGCTTTGTTCGAGCCATAAGCCACGCTTCACAGATCGTCGAGAAGCGAAATGCTAGATTAATATCTCCCTCTGYGACCAAAACCCACCGGTTTTTGCAGTCCGAGAACCATTCCGTTTCAGAAAGCACAACGACTACAAACAACTCCAAGCTAGATATACTTCGCGCAAGGACTAAGCTATTGAGGAAGCAAGGCAGCCAAAAGATTGCCGAGAGCCGAGCTTCTCTTCGCAAGAACCGAACGGTGCAGGTTGGTCTGTCTCCGCACCCCCCTTGTCCGATGAATCAACCGGAAGYTTTGTTGGGWAATACCCCAAGACCGGCAAAAACGAATTCTGCGTCTATCATGACGGGCAAGATACTAGGTGCCTCCAAAAATATGGATCTTCCTGTTTTATTGCGTCGCTCAAACAGTGTTATCGACCAACTAACACTAGAGATGGAAACAGCCGGTGWTATTATTAACCAGAGTAATGTCAGCGAGAATTCCGACTCAAGGATGATCCTGGACACCAGCAGTATCTACGATACGCATGTCTTTGTTCCTCCCTCTCCCATYATGCAGACCTCTCACGACCAAGATATCGAAGACGACACMAGCAGTCTTCACAACATTTCTGTTGACGACTACTGGGATCAATCAACCATATCTGCTTCGGCTCAGGATGCTTCATCAATCTCTGAACAGCTCAGCCCCACCCGATCGAATCTTGAAGAGCCTCCTCCATCTCAATCCGTCAATTGCTCGGGACTTCCGCCTCCCGAAGTTGTGGTGAAAATAACTACTCCCACGTCTGCTAGGCTCTCCCGGTCTCGCGAACTCGCCGAATCGCGGCACCGAAGGATGAGTCCACCCTCAATTTCACCGATCAAGGGAGACTGTGCTTCCATGTACAACACAGATCAAAAGTGTGAAAAGCTGTCCTTCGAAAACGATTGCCTGCGACGGCAGCTAGAGTTGCTCGAGAGTCGGCACCGAGACTTTCAACAGAAACTCGATAAACAGATGCTTAGCCCCGAAAAAGTACCCGGTGCRTTGCGAACACCGGGAAGCCCGTCTACTGCCACTTCCACCTCCAGTGGGGCGTCAAGCCCCAACAGCTACTACAAGTATCACAAAAGAAAGAGGAGRAGAAGCGATCGCCGTCGCCTTGCTCTGGTATTGATTTTCGCCCCATTTCTGATATCGACRACTCTCTTTTTCTATCGAGCCGTCCGCAATGTCTCCGATGCTCGGAGGAGAAATCGTGACAATGCTTTGAGGAACAGTGGGCTTGGATCGATCCCTTTTTTTGCGGATACTAATTCTAGGGGACCGCAAGCGACTTTGTCGAAACCAGCGCTGAGTGGTCTCGCTTCATTGATGCGTGAGGGAGTCCTACGCCAAACATCCTTGGGTCCAATTTTGTTCCGTGASAAGTCGAATGGGAGAATCCAAAGGGACAACAYAAATTTCTCTGGCGATTGGATTGGTGAAAGACACGCGACTTTCAGTGCAGAGGGACAGAATGAGAGTTTTGACTATGCAGATTMTCTTCCTGTAATGGCGCTTCCAAAATACCGAAGAATAGAAGGCTCTGTAGGTGGAGATAATCCCGATTCGACCCAGTCTGGAMGAAAGGGCAGAAGTGTGAAACGATGGTTTCAAAAAAGGTTGTCGAAGATGAAAATARCAACCCATAATGACCCTGCCGGGGTTTGGCTAAAACGAGCTCAGCAAATCAAAACCAGAGAACTGCATGCGGAGCTCTGAGGCTGCAACAAGATGGATGGTCGTGGATCCTCTTCTAATTATCTTGACGCATGATTGCTTTCGTGCGCAATCCTGCAAGTTACTCAGTCCTGACTGATTGYATATATACTTCTATTGATTTCTTTTTTTCAGCTKAACAGTGGAGGAGCTATMTCTGTTCAACTCATCAACACKGAGATGGAACTACTGCAACATCAACGTGGGATGCTACTGTCATGTTTWTATCGGGCAAAAAATRCTGCGTCCCGAGACTGTTTTCAACTCAGATGACTCTCATCCGACGACGAAATRCCGATCTGCACCATTTCATCTAAAACATCGCAATAACTTCTTTCCCCTGCWCAAATTGTGGGATGACGCATTTCAAATCGACTGTACTTGAACTGATAAGTCGACGTCAAAGGTTGCGCCGTGGCAATGACGCCTTGCTGGCCTTTAATTGTGTGGCATGAACTATCACAGTACTAGATGAACTTTTGATCGCCYACATGCATCGATCTTGGAGCCGAAGTGATCATGTTTCTCCATTGTCCAAKGTGTTGAAGAATATTGCTCTATTCTCTCTTCTGCTTAAATTTAGGCCTCCATTTTGTTGCTTAGTCTCACGCCTTGAAGGTTTGATCAACGATCGCCTTCCCAGGACAAGAATGGCATGTTTTTCTCCACTCCATCYGCCGTTGATTGCATAAAAGATACTTTATAAGCACACCTTACTGATCTCGCTGGTTTGGATTCTCGTACACTCCAATTGCTAGGTCTCAAAATAATAATTTGCATTAAGCATCATMCGAAAGAATACGCATACCATAAGTCTTCAGATGATAATGATTACAGTAAATATCTTTCATCTTTCGATAAGAAATTCAAAAAGATGCCAAATTCGTTGTTTTCCGTTGACACCTGAGACACGCTTTTTGACGCATGTATTCCATTTGTCACGATGCCATCAAAAGTTCGGCCACAAACGGTATCCTAACGAAATATTTTGTCAMAACGAGCGATTTTCGGTAGGAAAAACCCGCCGTTTCGGCTCGGCTGGCGCGCTGAAATAATAAATGGTATCATGTGAACTTTAGCGATTCTTTGTGGCGCGGAAAAGGTGCAGAGCGCGAACCGATATTTATTTYGGGACAAGCTCTTCTTGTTCCATTTCCATACGAACCGCAAGACGTCAGTTTAGCGCGCCAGGTTCTCGGACAGGTACGAGTATCTATTCTTGCTGCAGAACTTGAAGCTGATTGCTTTTGGATGCGAKTTCCTAMGGAACACAAAGCAACGATTTCGACTCACTCCYGGGCTCTAAGATGAATATAAGAAGGAAACAAATACTTTTGTTGGGCATATTGATTGCTCTTTCTYGGTTYGGACCTACGGAAGGTAAGCAACGAAACTGGAAAAGAGCAAGCACGTCCTGTTTGCTTTTAGGGAGGGCAGGCGAAAAGAATACCTACATRCCATTGAACAACCAACTTATTCTATGAACCATTTTGTTTTCGTTACGCATGTATTTCAGGTACGAGGCTAAAGAATKTTCGCAGGTCTATAGAAAACGGAGACGAGGAGGAATCCGGAAGAAGGGTCCAAAGAAGGCGGTTGACACTGGCAGACGACGTTTTCACTACGACCAGCAGAGAGCTTGAGGTCGTTGGTTATCATCGGGCTGTCGGTGAAGCCATTGCAAAAGTTTTTGGCAAAGTTGCTTGGRGTTTYGGCTTGCTGTTTAATTTCACAAAAACGCAATGGAGACGCGCCATTAATGCTGCCCTCGGATGGTTTATTGGTGTTCTGCAGCTTGTGCAAACGAAAAACGAAGCTGCGATTCTCGAAGAAGAATCATCCCCGCCACCAACAATTTCCCAGATTTACGATTCGCTTTCAACGGCCATGACAAGCTCACCAGAAGGTGGCTCGGATGCGAAAGAACAACCAGCAGAACCTACTCCCAGCAGGCAACAATCACCAACCAACAACAAACCGAAGCCCGCCACGAAATCGGCCCCACTCCGTAGCACCAATGCATCCGCAAAAGTTACGTCCACAAGGGGTGGACCGAACCGCAACAAACCTCCGGTCCGAATGGAAGCCACGGGCGGGTCCTCGTTCGAGGCCATGAATGCTGCTGCAATTGCGGAGGAAGAGAATGCCGTGGTGCCAGCGACGTCGATGCTCGCCGGTCTCTTGCCGACACTCGTGGCGGGACTCGTCTTTACGACCGCCGGGAGCATGGTMGGGTACGTATGGAACAGCGAATGGACGGAAACGGCATCGAGYGTCTTTAGCTACTTTTGGGGTGACGAGACCGACGAAGCGTCGTCCCCGTACGGTTCCAATACGAATAGCGCTACCGCGGAGGAGTACCTTGGTGATCAATTCTACAATGCCGCTCCCGTGACTCCAGACCGCTAGGCGCGGACGGAACGAATACCACGGCGATGCCACACACGACAAGACGAGGCAAAAAWCGACAACAACAACAACGACACAGAGYCATTCGRACATGTATTTTGAAAACGCGGTACCAAAAAAGGGAGRAGCAACTCGCGCAATGATGGATCYAAAATGCATTTTATTTGCGGTGAMACGAAACAAGCCATACGGACACGAACAATACAGGGGACATACAAATCAATCCATCGTTGYGCAGGCACTATTATGTACAATGTATTATACAACTATTTTTTAATTGAGAAATTACGAAATTTTTTAAGAATCGTAGAAATAGAAGCGAAACTCGATGGCTTGGTTTTCGTAGTTCAAGAAATCGATCGAAGTGGAACGAAAATGAATGTGTGGTCATTATACACCAAGGAAACGGAATTTGGAATCGCTGGCATCTCTCCCATTTCCCGATGCATTKTTTGACGTAGCCTCGGTTCCTGCTGGCGGCGAAGCCACAAAATACTGTCGCTTCGGCCTTTTTTGTGGCTTSCAAGTCCATGTGCGGGTGTGKGTTTTGGTTTGTGTGTGTTTGGAAGGGTTCGCCTCGTTTGTTCGGCAGGCAGTCGCATTGCGTTGAAAGTCACCGGATCACACCGGAGCGTCTGCTCGAAGCCCGCTCAGAGGGGGACACGGGTTTGCCGGGGCGCTTCCCCGCCGCCGCCGCCGTCGTCGCCACCCCCGGAGCCTTGCATGGGTGGTGGGTCTGTCTTCGGTTTCCTCGCGACRGCCAGTGGCCCGACCCGGAGGTAGTGCCCCACGACGCCGATCTGCTGGACGAGGCTCGCGACCAGGATGCTCCACATGATCCCGTCGAGGCGCTTCCCCAGCGGCGTAAAGGTCAGGCAGCCGAACATGCTCACCACGTACCCCATGGTGACGGTGGCGAGGGCCCTGTAGGCCCCGACCCCCATCATGATGCCCTCCCCGGCCAGGACCGGCCCGTTGACCACGTGGATCAGCGAGGCAATGAGCGARGGGGTCTTGACCGCCTCCCGGACCTCCGGCAGGGTCGAGAAGAGGGGGACYAGAACCGGCAGCAGGAGGGTCTGGCCGATCCCCAGCAAGAGGCCGGCCAGGCTGGACCACCCCAGCAGGCGATCGGCGGCGTTCCGGGCGTTCTGGTCCCGTTCGGAGGGGTCGGCCACTTCCTTGGCGCCACGGAAGGACGGAACCAGGGCCGCGGCGGCCCCCTGCATCCCCACCAGCGCGATGATCCCGACCGAGTAGATCTGCATGGTGATCCCGTAGGCGGCCCCGGCCACCCCGGTGGAATCCAGGACCGAGGCCCGGCGGGTGGCCACCAGAAAGCTCACGTTGAGGGCGAGCTGCCGGAGGAGCATCGCGGCCCCCCCGGTCAGCAGGGGCAGCAGGGACGCCATCGGTGGGGGCCGCAAGAGGAGCCTMGCCCTGGCCAGTCCCCTCTTGAGGAGGAGCCKWATGTAGACGGCCCCGCCGAGGGTTTCCGAGGCCGCCGTGGCCATTGCGGCCCCGACAAAGCCCAGGCCTTTCGCCCGGCCCGCGCCAAAGATCAGCAGGGGGTCCAGGAGCAGGTTGACCCCGTTCGTCAGGAGGCTGACCTTGAGCGGGGTGACCGTGTCGAGGAGGCCGCGGTAGGCGGCCGATCCGGTGGCGGCGACGAGGCTCGGGACCATCCCCAGGGCCCTCCACCGGAGGTAGGGCGCCGCGTAGGCCAGTACCGGGCTGTCGGCCGGTAGGAGGAGGGCCGTGAGGATCTGGCGGGGAAAGGCCACCAGCCCGAGGGTCCCGATGGCCCCCAGYAGATTGGAGAGAAAGAGGCTCTCGCAGACGCGCTCCCGGGCCGCCTTGTCGTCTCCCGAGCTGATGGCCTCCGAGACCAGCGGGGCCGTCATGTTGGGGAGAAAGGCAATGAGGAAGAAGAGGGTGAAGCAGGCCTGGTTGGCCGCCGACTGCCCCGCCAGGGCCATGGCCACGCCGAGGCGGCCCACCCAGAAGGTGTCGACGGAGTTGACGAGGGGGACGACCATGAGGTTCATGACCGTCGGGATGCACGTCTTGAGGATGGTCCGGTCGAGATCGTCCCCCTTGAGGGGCAGGGACCGCAGCAGCCGGTCGCGCTTGCGCCTGCGGGCAATCTTATGATCCGTGGTGGTGCTGCTCCCGCCGCCTTTGTTCGCCGCCGATCCGTTGACGGACCCGTTGACGGCGGGGTCTTCCGGCGGCTGGTTCGTGGCCTCCTCCGTAAAGGCGAACAAGGCTTGGGACGGTGTCCGGTGGTGGTGGCGGCTGCACACCGGATGGGTGGCAGGCCCGACCCGCCGATGGATCCGTCCCGCGTTCGCCGGTGTTGGTGCCCGAAAGGCAAGTACGAGTGCATCCGGGCACCTCGCCAGCATCACCGCGGACCAGCCGGCCAAAAGGAAGAGGCACAGGGGCCCGCTGTGGGTTGTGTGGTTCGTTCTGGCCATGGTTGTGCGATGTGTGTCGTGTGATGTGTGCTGTGTGTTATGTGTTGTGTTGTGTCTTGTCGTGTCGCGGAGGCAAGGCAATTTCTGTACAAATCTGCCCCTCTTGCTAGAAGGAGATTGCGAGTACCGGTACGATAGTGGCGCTACAGCAAAGGGAGAATGGRATGATCTGATGTCGGGTGGGCAGCTATTGGAATCGATTCTGTAGCCCAGCACAACACAACACCTCGTCGGAAACAGAAGGATCGCCGAAGAATTCAAGCTGCCGCGGCGAGGGTACTCGTACCGGTATGAGTATTATTATTGGTATGGGCATGGGTTTTCGACTCGTACGTGTAAACTAGCATCTACGGTTTTGCTGGTACATTTGTTCTGTAAGAAGTGTACCGGTAGTACAATACTGTACCGTACAGCTATCATTTTTTGTGACGACACGATGGTTTGAATTCGCCGGCACGTACGAGTTCTACGTACCGATCGATCGCGTTCTGTGTACTATCCCCTCTGGTACGGTACCAGTACGGTTCGTACGGTACTCGCGCTTTGTTCGGATGGAGTTTTCGGCAAGAACGACAATCTGACGTCGACGGTGTGTGGTGCAGGTACATAAATGAAACAAGCAAAGCGCCGGAAAGATATCGGTCGAGTCAGAGACAGTCAGTCGTGATTTCCAGACGTGCACGGTAGGCAAAACCGTGATACTGTAAGTGACAAAAAAAAAGGAGAACCGTGCGTGTGGTGTATTAGTTCCTATGTATGTATGGTACAGTACTGTAGTACTGTATGTGTTTCTGCGGTATTGATCCTGGTCGAAGGAATCAAATCGATCCCTCGAAATCCTTTCTACCCCTTTCCTCCCCATCCCTTCCCTTCGGCGATGTCTGTTTCTGTTTCCGTCGAAAGTTCCATCCACTCTCGCACAACATCGAAGAGAACCACCAACAACTAACAACTACTGTAACAATTAACAACCAACCACCAACCACCAACAATACCATGCCTTTGCATCGCTAGCATCCCATTCTCTGCCACACCAATACCATCCGTGCAGTACCCGTACCGGCCGCACATACCCTAGCCCCTAACGCGGAGAGCCGCCATGGGAGTCAAGGGACTCTGGAGGCTCCTCCTCCCCATCGGCCGGCGCATCTCGATCGAGACCCTCGAGGGCCGGRTCCTGGCGATCGACGCGAGCATCTGGCTGACCCAGTTCCTGACGGTGGCCGCCCGRCAGCGGGATCCGAACGACCCGGCCTCCCACGGGGGGAGGCGGAACGCCGCMTGCTACTCGTGCGACTACCTGGTGGGCTTCCTGAGGCGGCTGTGCCGGCTCCGGTACCAGGGCGTCCGGCCCGTCCTGGTCTTCGACGGGGCCACCCCGGAGATCAAGAGGAGGGAGCTGGCGGACCGGGCCAGAAGGAAGCGCAGGCGCGGCTTTGGGGAGGACCACCGCKCCCTGTTTCCGAGGGAAGGCAGCGGCAAAAGCGGCRACGGCAACGCCAGCGACGGCGACGACGAGTGGAGGGAGGCCACCCGYCGCATGGCCAAGCGGATCCTCGCGAGGCAGCTCCGGAGCGGGGAGCTCTCGACGACCAAGAAAAACAGGGCGGTGGGCAAGGCAGACGCGGCAACCAACAACAACAGCAGCAGCAGCAGCAGCAGTAGCAGCAACAGCAACAACAACAATCACCAAGAACAGCAACAACATCAACGCAAGCGACAAAAGACCGCGGGGGCATCCAAAACCTCCTACGCTACCGGGTTTTACGATCCGGATGCCGCGGCGGCCGAGGATGCCACGAATAAACACCTCCAACCCGACAACAACAACAACAACGAAAATGACGACGACGACGACCACTTGCTACAAGACGATTATACTTCCAACAATCGGTTCCAAGAAGCGGTCAACGATTTCGATGCGGCCATTGTGGTTCACAGCGACGGGGACGATGAAAACAACAACAACAACAACAACAACAAGAACGACAACAAGAACAACGAATTCGAGAACAGCGACGACGAATTTCGACCGTCCGTCGAAGACACCCGCCGCGGCCGCCGCCGGCCCTACCCCCGGAAACGGGGAAAGCAAACGGAGCCGGTCTACGATTCGTCGCGCTTCCACGACGGGGACGGGACCGGCTTCAGGGTCGATTCGGTGGCGGGCCTCCCCGAGAGCGCCCGCCGGGGGATCATCGAGGACGTCCAGCGGGAGCGGAGGATGGCCTCCCGCCGGGAGTTCCTGGGGGTCGCCTCCAACCCGGAGGAGCTCTCGGGCTGCCAGATCCGGAACTTTCTCAAGTCGACCCGTCTCAAGAAGGACATTGCGGAGATGGCGAGGGCGGCCACCAAGAGGGCCGAGGAGGAGGCCAAGATGGCCCGGGGGAACGGGATCCTCTTCGAAAAGGAGGGGGCCTGCGCCGGCCCCCAAGAACCGGCTGGTGGACACCGCCGCCGCAGGCACTATCGGGACCACGGAGTACCGTCCGGGAGGAGACAAACCCCGAGCAGGATGCGCATGTTTCCYTTCAAGGGGTCGCGAGCGACGGAAAGCGGCCACAGCGACGACGAACACGACTTTCACAAGGCCAGGAACAACCACTACCTGGCGGGTGGGATTCGGTTCGAAACCGGCGACCGGAACAACCCCGACAACCAGAACGACGTCGAAGTCGGAGTCGACAACACGGCGAAGAACGGGGTGGAACCCCCAACGATCGCCGCCACCCTCGAGGACKGGGGCGGTGGATTCGGGGTTCCCATTGCGGACGGTTCCAGACCTCTGCTCGGGCGCGGGCGGGAAAACGAGAGCCAAGGCGACGACGACGACGACGACGACGGTAGCGGGGCCACCGAACTCGATRGYGGCAGCGAAGGCGGAGGCGRCAGCGCACCCKGGGGATTTGGTGGCGGCCGTTCCCCGAGCGCGGCCTCGCAAAAGGCCGCCCAGGAATCGCAAGACGAGGCCCTGGCCCGGGCCCTGCAAGCGATCGAGGACGGGGAAGACCCCTCCGAGAACCCGCACCCGYTGTGGAATCGGAAGCATCTCCGCGGGGAGCCAGCCGGCCACGGGGACTGCATCGAAATCCTCGACGGCAGCGAAAGCGACAGSGAGAGCGAGCCCGGGGGCGGTGGATTCCTRCCAACGCCTGCGTCCGTTCCGGGAAGGGCCRAGCGGGAACGAGACGACGCCATCCTTGCCCGGGATCTCCAGGCGGCRGAGTACGASCGAGACGAACCATGGGGTGGAGGGGGGGGCTTTTTGCCCGTGGAGGACGAAGCGGGCGGAGGCGGCGAGGGGAAGCCCGCGGCGTTTTCGGAATCCGGGCCCGAGACGGGACGGGGCGAACGCGACGAGAGAGAGAAGACCGACCGGGAGGAAGACAGTGGTGGTGGTGGTGGTGGTGGGTTCTTGGTGGAAGAACAAGGCCGGGAATTCAAAACGCCATCGTCTCGGCGGGAACAACCAGCACTATCGCTATCCGCGGGCGTAGCCACGAACCGAGATTCGCTCCTTACCGAGCTGGAGGAAACCCCGCTTGGCTCGAATGTCTTTTCGTGTGGAGCAAACGCGTCATCGCACGGCATCTTCTCGATGAGCCAGCAACCAAGGAAATCAACCAAGCCGTCGGTTGGGGAGCTCCTCGTCTGCAATTCGTCGTCGGATGACGACGACTACGAGAACGAGAACGTGGACTGGGAAGACGGCGAAGGCAACCCCGAAAGCATTGGATTCGCAATAAGAGACCACCGCGCTGGACCAAAAAGCCAAGCCAAAGAATCATCTCCAATCAGTGAGCAAGGGAAAGCACCCCGGCCGGAGCTTCTCGTGTGCCATTCATCGTCGGATGAGGACGACGATGGTGAGAATGTGGACTGGGAAGACGGCGACGGTAATAGCAATAGCAACCACCAAAGCAATAAATCTGAAACAAGGGTTTATCAGACTGCACAAAATAGCCAAGAAAAAGAAACGGTTGCCATCAGCCAGGAACGAAAAGCAAGCCAACCCTTGATCGCGGAGCTTCTCGTGTGCAATTCGTCCTCGGAAGACGACGAAGAGGTAGATTGGGAAGACGGAAACGACAAAACAAACAATAAGGAGACTCTTGGCCTTGGTGAAACCGACAGCAGCAAGATCCCAGCGCAAATGACTTCCACAAAATCCACGGGAGTGGAAATTGGAATACGTCCCTCTTTCTCGAACAATAATTGCGTTGGTGATGACGACGACGGCGACGACGATGGTGATGAGAATGACAATGACACCATCGATTGGGAAGATGGCAACACTAACACCATTAACCAAAGAAAGGACACCAAAGATAACAAACCTTCTCTACCGATGACTTGCAGAACCAAAAACAAGATTTCTCTGAGTGTTGACAASCTTGATGATGAGGATGAGAGTGGTCATCGAGGAAATGACAACAATGCCGAAACCGAGAACACCGAAATAAKGTTGGARCGAGGAGRGACTACAGGGGAAAACCAGAAAAATCCGATTGACTTGGATGCTTTTGTCACCATTGACGAGARCGACAACAACGGTGCAATGGATTGGAAAGAGGGCGACAACGATYTTCGGTCGTCAATGAAGCAACTCGATCCCACAGCAGTCGAAGCATTGKATTCGAAAATATTGGTGCACAAGCGAGTCGAATTACTAGAGAACAAAAAAAGGGACGTCCTTGAGAAGAATAGTGATGATTGTGAAGGAGAAGATGCAAATGAAAATGATGATGGCGATGATGATGATGATGATGATGATGATCTTATAGTTTGGGAAGACGGGAACAGTAATATCAATGAGAAAGGAAAAGAACCAATTGATCTATCAACATCCATGACGTTAGCCGAATCGTCCAAAACTCCGGCTATCAGAAATACCAAAAATTCTGACGAAGACGATRTGAATTGGGAAGAAGAGCAGAMAAGCGATTYTTTTACTGATAAAAAGGTGATGACCGAACTAGAAGACAAGTCCCTGCAAATCTCAGACAACCTACAGAGTCCGACACTGGTGAAAGCCAGCAAATATTTCGAAAACGAAACCACAACAGCATCTATCGAAACCAAAGTGGTAGATGTGGACGATGATGACGACGATCAGATTGATTGGGAAGCAGGAGCAACGC